CTGTCCAATTACTTATTTTTTAACCAATTAATCATATGATTGACCAATCAGAACCATAAGATTAAACAATTAATTCAACTCAGCCAACTGTTTTAGACTCAAACCCGAAGCGCCAAGCTTTCCAAATGGTGAAAAATGACAATGTAGGCCACAGCACATTGCCTAGAGGCTACCGGATTGGGGGCAAACCGGTGTCTCTAAATGTTCCAAAACATTATCAAAACCCAACCGAAATGTAAGAAATCAAGATTTTGACACGGTACTGTTCTACTGAAATCAAGAAAACAGAACAACGAACCCAATTCAAAAAAATCAAGAAAACCAACCTGAGGATAGATTTGAATTGAGCAAGATCCTCTCCACGCTAGCCCTAGTCGCACCCTCAAATTCTCCGCGTTCGCCAATGCCAGCAAATCAGCAGCACTATGCCTCCTCCCGCTTGAATCGAAAGTACATTCGCCTTGATCAATCCATCCCTCACTGCGGACACCCAACTCTTCAGCTCCGGCCTAAACCCCACCGCCTTCTCCACCATCTCCGGGTCCCACTCGACACCGTAAGCGTTAAAGAACTCCCTGTGAGCCCGGCTGTAGAATCCGGCGTTGATCGCCGACGATCCGTCGAGGACTCTGCCGAGAGCCTTGGGGACGCCGTCGTCGGAGACGAAGGACTGGGCGGGGGAATCGAGGCTGTTGGCGGCAACCAGGGTTTGGAGGAATCCGTCCTGGGAGCTGAGGGAGGGGAACTCGTCGGGGGTCCCGCCGCGCTCGAGGAGGAGGACGTGGTGGCCGGCGGCGGAGAGGGTGGCAGCGAGAGGGCAGCCGATGGTCCCGATTATGATGTAGTCGTCGTCGTCCTCCGGCGGGTACAGGGTGGCGTCGAAGGTGAAGCGCGCGTAGCTGGGAGTAGTTCCCCCTGAAATCAAGAAATCAAGAAATCAAGAAATCAAGAACAAGAATCGATTCTTAGGGTCAGGGTTTGGGGACTGAGGGTTACCTCCTCCCGCGTTGATCGCCGACGATCCGCCGAGGACTCTACCGCGAGCCTTGGTGATGCCGTCGTCGGAGACGAAGGACTGGGCGGGGGAATCGAGGCTGTTGGCGGCAACCAGGGTTTGGAGGAATCCGTCCTGGGAGCTGAGGGAGGGGAACTCGTCGGGGGTCCCGCCGCGCTCGAGGAGGAGGACGTGGTGGCCGGCGGCGGAGAGGGTGGCAGCGAGAGGGCAGCCGATGGTCCCGATTATGATGTAGTCGTCGTCGTCCTCCGGCGGGTACAGGGTGGCGTCGAAGGTGAAGCGCGCGTAGCTGGGAGTAGTTCCCCCTGAAATCAAGAAATCAAGAAATCAAGAACAAGAATCGATTCTTAGGGTTAGGGTTTAGGGGATGAGGATTACCTGGTTCCTGAGACGAAGAGAGGATCGCAATGCGGGGGGAGAAAAGGGTTGATGAGGGTCTGATCGCCATTGTTTTGTTGAAATTTGGGGGAAATTTGGAAAGTTTGGGGGGTCATTCCGATTATGATGTAGTCGTCGTCGTCCTCCGGCGGGTACAGGGTGGCGTCGAAGGTGAAGCGCGCGTAGCTGGGAGTAGTTCCCCCTGAAATCAAGAAATCAAGAACAAGAATCGATTCTTAGGGTCAGGGTTTGAGGACTGAGGGTTACCTCCTCCCGCGTTGATCGCCGACGATCCGCCGAGGACTCTACCGCGAGCCTTGGTGATGCCGTCGTCGGAGACGAAGGACTGGGCGGGGGAATCGAGGCTGTTGGCGGCAACCAGGGTTTGGAGGAATCCGTCCTGGGAGCTGAGGGAGGGGAACTCGTCGGGGGTCCCGCCGCGCTCGAGGAGGAGGACGTGGTGGCCGGCGGCGGAGAGGGTGGCAGCGAGAGGGCAGCCGATGGTCCCGATTATGATGTAGTCGTCGTCGTCCTCCGGCGGGTACAGGGTGGCGTCGAAGGTGAAGCGCGCGTAGCTGGGAGTAGTTCCCCCTGAAATCAAGAAATCAAGAACAAGAATCGATTCTTAGGGTCAGGGTTTGGGGACTGAGGGTTACCTCCTCCCGCGTTGATCACCGACGATTCGCCGAGGACTCTGCCGCGAGCCATGGTGATGCCGTCGTCGGAGACGAAGGACTGGGCGGGGGAATCGAGGCTGTTGGCGGCAACCAGGGTTTGGAGGAATCCGTCCTGGGAGCTGAGGGAGGGGAACTCGTCGGGGGTCCCGCCGCGCTCGAGGAGGAGGACGTGGTGGCCGGCGGCGGAGAGGGTGGCAGCGAGAGGGCAGCCGATGGTCCCGATTATGATGTAGTCGTCGTCGTCCTCCGGCGGGTACAGGGTGGCGTCGAAGGTGAAGCGCGCGTAGCTGGGAGTAGTTCCCCCTGAAATCAAGAAATCAAGAAATCAAGAACAAGAATCGATTCTTAGGGTCAGGGTTTGGGGACTGAGGGTTACCTCCTCCCGCGTTGATCGCCGACGATCCGCCGAGGACTCTACCGCGAGCCTTGGTGATGCCGTCGTCGGAGACGAAGGACTGGGCGGGGGAATCGAGGCTGTTGGCGGCAACCAGGGTTTGGAGGAATCCGTCCTGGGAGCTGAGGGAGGGGAACTCGTCGGGGGTCCCGCCGCGCTCGAGGAGGAGGACGTGGTGGCCGGCGGCGGAGAGGGTGGCAGCGAGAGGGCAGCCGATGGTCCCGATTATGATGTAGTCGTCGTCGTCCTCCGGCGGGTACAGGGTGGCGTCGAAGGTGAAGCGCGCGTAGCTGGGAGTAGTTCCCCCTGAAATCAAGAAATCAAGAACAAGAATCGATTCTTAGGGTCAGGGTTTGGGGACTGAGGGTTACCTCCTCCCGCGTTGATCGCCGACGATCCGCCGAGGACTCTACCGCGAGCCTTGGTGATGCCGTCGTCGGAGACGAAGGACTGGGCGGGGGAATCGAGGCTGTTGGCGGCAACCAGGGTTTGGAGGAATCCGTCCTGGGAGCTGAGGGAGGGGAACTCGTCGGGGGTCCCGCCGCGCTCGAGGAGGAGGACGTGGTGGCCGGCGGCGGAGAGGGTGGCAGCGAGAGGGCAGCCGATGGTCCCGATTATGATGTAGTCGTCGTCGTCCTCCGGCGGGTACAGGGTGGCGTCGAAGGTGAAGCGCGCGTAGCTGGGAGTAGTTCCCCCTGAAATCAAGAAATCAAGAAATCAAGAACAAGAATCGATTCTTAGGGTCAGGGTTTGGGGACTGAGGGTTACCTCCTCCCGCGTTGATCACCGACGATTCGCCGAGGACTCTGCCGCGAGCCATGGTGATGCCGTCGTCGGAGACGAAGGACTGGGCGGGGGAATCGAGGCTGTTGGCGGCAACCAGGGTTTGGAGGAATCCGTCCTGGGAGCTGAGGGAGGGGAACTCGTCGGGGGTCCCGCCGCGCTCGAGGAGGAGGACGTGGTGGCCGGCGGCGGAGAGGGTGGCAGCGAGAGGGCAGCCGATGGTCCCGATTATGATGTAGTCGTCGTCGTCCTCCGGCGGGTACAGGGTGGCGTCGAAGGTGAAGCGCGCGTAGCTGGGAGTAGTTCCCCCTGAAATCAAGAAATCAAGAACAAGAATCGATTCTTAGGGTCAGGGTTTGGGGACTGAGGGTTACCTCCTCCCGCGTTGATCGCCGACGATCCGCCGAGGACTCTACCGCGAGCCTTATTTCAAATACGGTGAAAAAATTTCTCTGGAAATAGTCAATGAGAAGATTTTAAACGGTTTACACTTTGCTAGAATTACGTAGTAAAAAATAAACATAGAGACAATTTATTCATTAACGATCAACATAAAACAAAATGATATTTCTAGATTAATATATTGACAAAAGAAATTGCATAAATCCATTCCAAATGAAAACACAATAATACAAAACATAAAAGGAACCAGATTCTCTTTAATTATGTGGTAATTGGAGAGGGTCAAATTCTCTCAATTCTTGGAGTTCTTATTACTTTTTATGGATGAGAACATGTCATGTACTCTTGAAAACCATTGGTACCTTGAAAACCACTAGTATCATAATAACTAGGGTAAAATGATCGTTCCCCTTAAAGTATTGGTAAACTATCAGTATGCTCTCTAATGTATCGAATTACCTATTTTGTTCCCCCAAACTACATTTATGGTTTCAACGAGATCATTTTGTGAGTCTACAGTAAAATATTTAGCAGGAGGTTAATGATGCAATAGTATATTTTTATATTTCTTCATGTATTTCATCAGTTTAATTCATGGATTTTATTAGTTTATATGGGATGAATACGTAAAAATGCCCTTACATAATGCAGAAAGTGCGATCATTTTTATAAGGTTTTTTAAAAACTAAAACAATTATGTTAATAATTACCTTCGATAAAATCAAGATTCAATCCTTCGCTACAGTCCATATGAGCATTCAACCTTGACCAGTGCAATTGCAAATGCGCTAACAGTCATATTTGATCTTAAACGGTGGGCCGTAATTCTGCAAGGCCGTGGTTGGCGGTCCTCAAAAAATTAGGCCACCGGCCTAAATGCACGTTCAACAAATACTCGTACAATATATTTTTTAATATCATTTATTGTTGCTTTTCAATAGAAACAGTTTCGACACTAAAAAAACATACTGGAGATCCACGTATCCCAAAAAAAAAGAAAAAAAAGGATATCTCAAAAGCAAAAATTTGTTGGTTGCGTCAATATAATCTAAAATGAAGAACAAAACAAGTAGGCGATATCCTGAAAGGCGTCTTCCAACTGAGCATTGCGATCCGATGAATTATCAGGACATGCCAACAACTTTTCAATTATTTCCAACACCATCTGCCTGTAATCTTCACTATAGTCATCAAGTTCTTTAGATATTGATCTCTTGAGATACGCAACTCCCAACTTATTGGCCAAAGCAACGGTTGCATCGGCCAACAACACGTACTTGTCCCTTCTCATCATCATTCTCGTCTACATAATTAGCACGAAACAACTAGGCTCGCCCATAATTAGAAAACACTATAACGGAACGTCCTTGATCTCAACTAGGCTTTTGATGGCTTCGAATCCAATCTCCTTCATCTCCTCGTCGTCTACCGAAAGTCTCGACACGAGCAATACCCCGTTCGCTACGTTCCAATTGATGTCGCTGGGATATGGATACGTTAGAAGTTGAATAATGCAAGTGAATAGCTTCACCAGCGCTCCCAACACTTTCCCTCTTCGATGAATAAAACCAACTCCATCTCTGCTGAAGAAATCGAAGAGTCGATGCAATATCGGTTTAAAGTGCTCATATCCATAGGGTGCCACCGCTTTAGCAAGAGCAGCGAGAGATAAAGCTGTGATCATGATTCGCACAATTTCTAAATCCTTGTGAAGGAGACCGAACTCCATAAGTTCAATTAGAGACGAAAGATGTGGCAGCAACGTGCATCCGATCCTCACAGCAAACTGCTCCACCATTCTTATAGCAGCACAACGGACTCGCAATGGCTCAATTCCTCGACAACAACTTTCGATGAATGGAAAAACAACATGAATTCCGAGTGCAGATGCTACGATCCCCATAACTTTGACCGCCACATCCCTTACGTAATCACTACTGTCATTCATTTGAAGACGAATCAGCACAGCAATTTCATCCAAACCCGTGATTTTGCTGAGAGTGTAGATGATCTCGCTCGCCTTGATGCAACAATGAGAGGAGGCATCTTCAACAAAAGGTTGGGCAACTAATATAATTCGAGAAACCAAAGGTCGAACTTTGTCCTCATCGCAACTGGGCAATACCTTGCTCATCACTTTCAGTAGGAAGCCGGCCTCTTCATCTTTGAGTGATTTGCGCTCTGTTAGCATCCATGAGAGAGTGTAGTCAAGTACGTTGATGGGCTCAATGCCCATATCATGAATACTTCGGGTGAGGTTAATAAAAAATACTGACTTTTGATGAGAGGAATCGTTCATCACTCTTGAGAGTAGATTCTTGACAAGTTCTCGAGAATTGGTCTTCAATTTCTTCTCGGACGACAACTCATCATCACTTCCTACACTTTCATTGACAACAATTGGTCGTTTATGAGACGCATTCCCTTTGTTCTTCATCTCCTCGCACTCCATGGTATTATTTTCTGACCTCCGGGAAACGCAAATTGATTTGTCGAAAAACAAACAAACAAAAAGTAAGTACTCGCAGAAACTCTATTGAAAACAAGGTGGTAGCTGAATATCATAACCTGTTGTCATTTAGTTTAGAAGCAATTTAATCTTATGACCAGATGCACTAAACTAATCTAGAAAATATATTTAATTGTTTTGCATAACTTGTTCTGAAATTTTATGTAAATAATGTCTACAATCATGCTAAAGGCATGAGATGTCTAATACATCTGAATCCTCTTGAATTATATGGTAACGGGAGAGGGTCCAATCCCCTCAATCCTTACTGCCCACATCACTTTCAGTGGGCGAGATCACGCCACGTAAGGTAAGGTTTTCATTGTTATCTTGGTAACCACTTGTTGAAAAGATAATGTAATTAGAGAATATTAGAGGGGGTTTTGTGTAAATGTGGGTGTAAGGCTATATAAGCCAATCTATTCTATCAGTGAGAAAGTGAATTAAAAAAACCCTAATTTTCAATATGGTATCAGAGCCCTAACCTAGCCGCCTCCCTCTTCAACCCGACGAAATCCAACCCGAACAAATCCGAGGGCTTTGGTCTTCATCCTCGGGCTTCGTCTTCACCAGAGGGCCTCCGAAGCCTCTAGATCTCCAGGCGGCGAGGTCATTGACTCCAAGATCATCAACGATCAGGAGGCCTGCTCGGTGGAGTTCTCTTGTAGGGAAGCGTCGACGGAGGAGCAGGGAGTCGGTGACGTGACCGGCGGCGGGTATGGTGTTACCACGACGACTGTAGGGCAGGAGGCTGCGACCACGATGACTGTAGGGTAGGAGGAGACAGCCGGATGCAGAGGAGGCCGAAGTCAATGGAGGTGCAGGGCGTCGGTGATGTGATCGCGGCTACAGGGGAGGGTCCGATGGCGGGAGCTGGAGGAATCTCGTTTTGGAGTTTGGTTTTTTGATCTGCAGGGAGTGTTGCCGATCAGATCCAAGAGAAGAAGGAAATTTATTTTGGGGATTGTTGCCAATCAGATCCAAGAAAAATAATAAAAAATTAGGACATGTATTAGATGATAAAGTAGTTTCGTTCTGCTGTTTTTTTGTTGTTTTTTATTCTAGATCTGTAATAGCTTGTTTAGGTTCCCTCGACAGGTCAGTCCTAGAACTGATGAGAGGAAGAGCTGATATTTTACTTTGTTGAGATATTTTACTTTTTGGTTCTTGTTTTCTTGGTGAAACAAGAATTCTTGTTAATCTAACTCTCTTGTTGTGCTGTCGAAGTGCTGTCGAAATTTTCGCTACACACAACAAGGATACAAGTTGGATCGACGACGGAGACTGGCAGAAATCCGATGGAGGAGATCATCAAGAAGTTGAATCCTAAGGAGATCTCAACACTGATGCAATTGATAAGGTTGTCGGCGGGAGAGGGCTCGATAAAGCCACAACCCAAGAAGGTGGAGCTTTCACCTATCGATGTAAAACTTGATGGACCCGCGACATATCTGAGTTGGTCGCGTCGGGTGAAATATACCATTGCCGGGAGGAGCCTAGAGGGATATCTGACAGGGGAGAAGACTGAGCCGGCTGAGGGCTCCGTAGGAAGAGATGAGTGGAAGTCCACTCATATGTTGGTGTACATCTGGCTTCTGAATTCTGTAGTCCATCCAATTGCTGCCACAGTGGATGGCCTTGGGAGGGTGCAGGATGTGTGAGAGAAGTTGAGGAGGACCTACGATGGGGTGGGGAATAACCTGAGGGTATTCCAAATCGAGAAGGTGATCAGCGCTATAGTCCACGGAGAGAGGACTGTACAGGAGTACGCCACAGAGCTGGAGCGCTTGTGGCTCGATCACGATCCCACAGAGCTAGAGCGCTTGTGGCTCGATCACGATCACTTCTCACCCCTAGCGAGCTGCAAGGACCCAGAATGCAAGCAGCGTGAGGCCTCTTTGCAGAAAAGGACCATGTCGTTTCTCCATGGTTTGGCTCCAGCGTATGAGCAGGGGACGACGTTGCTACTAACCCAGACGAAGATCCCACCATTGGAGGAGACAGTCTCGGCCATGATACAGGAGGAGAGCCGTATCAGGCTACAGGCTGGGACAAGTGGACTTACACAAGAGAAGTCTGCACTGGTGGTATCCAAACCGGATAACACTGGATTCAGAGGGGAGACTAGGTAGTGCTTCAACAGAAGAATAAAAATGTTCCCATTTAAACTGTTAGAGATATAAAATTAACGTAACAGGGAAAATATTACGATCATGACAATTTTGAAGACTTATCGCTCTATTGAGGAGAGTCGAAAAATTGATTTTATCAGAGGTGTGATATTAACGTGTCAGGGAGAAATATTACGATCGGGACAATTTTGAGAACTTATCGCTTTATTAAGAGAGTCGATAAGTTGATTTTGTCAGAGGTATGATATTAACGTGACAGGAAGAAATATTGATGTGATTTGAACACAATCTAGGGGACTTAACGTCTTGCTGGGGAAAATCGCCAAATGGTTTATCATCGAAGCGATGACTTGTGATACTTGTGATTTGAATAAGATCGAGAGAATTTTACTACTCCACCGAAGGGAGTTGATAAGTTGGTTATTTACTACTCTGTCGAGGAGAATCAGTAAATTAACCATGTTCTGAGTGATTTTAGGGACTTATCGTTCTGTTGATGAGAATCAATAAGTTGATTTTGACAGAGGAATTGTCGTTCCTTTGGAGGCTATGCAAGCTAAATTCAAACTCTGTGGGGATGATGGTTGTCAGAAGTGTAAGACTAACTTTGACGAAAGTTTGGTCAACTGAAACAATTTAGGTTCTGCTGAAGTGATTTAGAAGTTTAACAAGACCCAGTTGACAGGATCCATGAAATTAAAGAATAAGTGTCATGTTTGAAAATACAAAGGTGGATCCTTTGTTTAGAATAATTGCAATGCAAATGTGACCTTTGCGTTTGAGGTTCGAAACGCAGAGTTAAAAACTCTCATAACACAGCTCTAGGCCTAGCGTTTGGGAATTGAACGCAAAAGTGAACTCTGTGTTAAAGTCCAATTGACTTTATCTACTAACGTGGAAGATCGCGTTTCAGAGATGGTTGAGATTCTCTCCTAGAACCCCGCACCGATTTAACAGCTTGACGGCTGTTATAAATAGACATGTGTGGTCACATCAAGAGTCATTCTA